CCAAAGCATCAACACTCCTCTATCCCTCAAATCATCTTCCCCGCAAGGTCCTAACTCTCCACTCCTGGAGTCTGTTTTCATGAACTCCACATTGGACTGCTGTCCTTCCCTTAGAATAGCAAACTCTTTGTTTTTATGCTTCCACTCCAAAGTCCTTCCTTCTTCAGTTAGTTCCTCCCCATCAGTTTGAACCCAATCTAGACAAGCCAGCTCCGCCAACCAGTGAATCTTATTAAACGCAGGACACTTCCCCCACCCGGTCCTTTGCGGCTGAGCTCTCTGGCTGTGGCACTCTGCCACAAGGTGGGCAGTGATCTGGTTCTCAGAAACAACACAAACAATTCATGTCCTTGTACAGGGCTTTTATTGAAAACACAAAGATGCACCATGGTGCACTCACCCCAAATCATAGACAATACTTTATCGGTGCCATATGCTGGTCTGCATCAGGCTGTAACACTAAAAATAGGCATCTAAAATAATTCATTTCCACATAAAAGGTTCTCTCTTCTTTTTTTCTTTTTTTTTTTAAAGAAAAAAATATCAAAAAGTCTCTCCATTTCCCTGTTAAATTATATATTTTTTATTTTTTTCCTTTCTACAAAAAATAACCCACACATTTCCCTTTCCTTGAAATGGCTAAACTTGAGAATTAGATTTTAATTTATTTTTATTTTTAAAAGGATCAAACATTATCACCCAAATCTCCAGAGCTTCAGCAAGATAATTTCTTTTAAAATATAGCTATCTATCTATCTATAGATAGATAGATACTTACGTATCTATATATAGATATCTATGTGTATATATCTATATACACAGATATCTATATTAGAAAGCTATAGATATATAGTGCTTTTTCTCCCCCCACCCCAACAACCAAGAAAATATTAGCAAGATGTGCAGAAATCACCTGACTGCCCCAGCTCTGCTAGCACAGCCAGATCGTGCCCCAGACAACTAGCAGGTAGCTAATGGCAGGACGCCCTTCCAAATCATGTCATTCACCCATTGCTTTCCAAGTGCCAGACTGGAGCAGTGCTGAGCTACGCACCATCAGTGCAACGCACATCCCCAGAGAACTGGGTTGCAGATCAGGGCA